TCGCTGGATCCACAAGACAACAGCCTCTGGAAAACGCAGAGGGCCCTGCGACAGACCGCTCGCCGTAAAATTCCTCCAATCCACGGTAGTGTGGGGGTGGTTTACACGAACCAGGAAAAGGCCGAGGCTTTCGCCGATAGCCTGGAACTGCAGTGTAGACTGCCTCAGCTGCCCGACGAAGACGAGGAATTCGAGATAGTGGCTGAGCGCGCGGCCCGACGCGTCGACAGAGAGCCAGACAATGACATAATCCCCCCCGCAACACCTGACGAACTAAGACTGACAATACGCAGACTTAAAAACAGAAAAGCCCCCGGACCCGACAATATACATAACACGACACTTAAACGACTACCACACAAGGGCCTCATGGCCCTACTAAACATAACAAACGCGACACTCAGACTAAGACACTTCCCTACCCGCTGGAAAACAGCAAACATAATCCTTATCCCAAAACCCAACAAAGATCACACCATCCCATCCAACTACCGGCCCATTAGCCTGCTCCCGGCTATGAGCAAAGTGGTAGAAAAAATTATCCTAACCCGTCTAAGAACCCACTCCCAAGAACTGCAAGTCATTCCAGACGAGCAGTTCGCCTTCCGACCCAATCACTCCACTGAACTCCAAATCCTTCGCCTTACCGAGCACATCACGGCGGCCTTCAACAGGGGACAGTACACTGGTGCTGTCTTCCTGGACGTCGCAAAGGCCTTCGATACGGTTTGGCATGAAGGCCTACTGATGAAAATGCTCACCAACCAATATCCCATATCCTTTACCAAACTCATAAAATCCTACCTACACCACCGAAAATTCCGCATCCAAATCCAAGATTCCCTTTCCACCACCCGTCCCATGGAGGCCGGTGTCCCCCAGGGCACCGTCCTGTCCCCACACCTATACACCATTTACAACTCCGACATCCCACATCCCCCCAACACCAACATATACTTATACGCCGACGACCTGACAATCACATCCCAATCCGTAGATCCTAGATATTCCGTCTACCTCCTCCAAAGCTCCTTAGACCAACTTGAAACCTGGTGCAACAGGTGGAAAGTCAAAATTAATCCCAACAAAAGTTCGGCTATCCTTTTTACCAAACGAAAAATCCCACAAAACCTTGACAGACTGACACTATCCCAGGAACCCATCTCCTGGAATCGACAAACACGATACCTGGGCGTGACGATGGACCAGCGTCTCACGTGGAAACCGCACATCGTGGAGACGGTGGCGCGAGCGAAGACCACCAGGGCTAGGCTCTATCCCTTACTCAAAGGTGGAAACACCCTCAGTTTAAGGAATAAGCGAACGCTTATCAAGGTGGTACTTCAACCGCAGCTAACCTACGCCTCCACGGCGTGGGGTCACGCGGCAAAAAGCCACTTAAAGTCATTACAGGCTGTGGAAAACATAGCCCTCCGCACGGCCACCGACGCGCCCTGGTACGTAAGAAACACTGACATATTACGAGACTTACAATACACAAACGCTACACAGACAATAAGACAAAACGCGGAGAAACGATTTGACGTAGCCGCTAGACATGACAATCCCCTCCTCAGGCAAGCCGTTGACTACGTACCCGACGTGACCGACAAACACAAAAGACCTAGACACCAACTTTTTGACCCTGGGTGACCACCCCAATGACCCCCCCCCTGCCCGCTAACCTTTTCTGTTTCAGAGACAGCCAGGATCAAGAAACGAAGACAACGACACACACACACACACACACACACACCCCCCATACCCTCCTTAACCCTCCCCTCCCGCGCTAGCCTAAGGGCCACCTTAGCAAAGCGCATCCCAGGCTGCATAGCCGCACTACCCTACCCAACCATACCACACATAAACATGACACTACCCCCGGGGTTTACACAGACGAGCCGGCGAAGCAAGAAGAGCGCCAGAAGAAAGGGCCCTAGCCGGCGGGGCCCAGCCAGGACAAAAGGAGATCCCACAAAGCGCCTACACCGGCCGCATTTGCGGTCGGGGTAGACGACAAATGGGGCCCACCTACGAAGGCTGTCCAGGCCTACACGAGATGAGGTAGGATAAAGAGGGATAATCCATTTTCTAGCCATGGAATAATGGCGCGTGTTGTGCTCCAAATTGCAAAAGCACTTACTATGAATGTCTGTAATGCGTCCTATAGAAATGAATGTTTTTTCAAAATTACAAAAGAGACAATTACTGTGGATAGAATCAGTTCGAAAATTATGTAAATCAGACTTTGCTCCGACATACACAGATCATTATTTTTGTGAAGACCATATTTTGAGTTAAAATGTTTTAAAAGCAGTGATAGGAATAGTCTCAACAGAAATGCTGTGCCGACATTATTTTTAAGATCAACTACAAGTTCATATTTTAACTGTAATAATATCACCGTGGAATCCTCGGATAGTATCCAATATTCAGCAAAACAATTTGTTAACGTAACATTAACAGAATAATTTTCAGAGTACGAGCTGCCAATTTCAATTTCGGATGATTTTTCAACTCCACCTTTTAAAAAACCGAAATACATATATTCAAAATTGTTATTTCCTACAAGCGCTACTGCGAACACCAGGGCCATTACTGAGATTACTGATAGCAAGTTGAGTGAAGCGGAATCAAATACTAGTCATGTATAAGTACCTTACTTGATACCTCATTTTTAAAAACTATGAATGTTAAGAGAATATCTCAACTTTCAGATAAACATAAAAAAATGTAGGAGTAAAATTTATCGAGTCACAAATTAAAAATTGTGAAAAAAAATGACTTATCTATAATTCAGAAAATAAAGCAGTTGCTTTAGCGATTTACAAACGCGGATCAAGGTGCTACAGGTTTTTACAAAAATTTTTTGTGCTGCCCTCTAAATCTTCCATTAGGAAATATTTAGGCCAAATACCTTTAAATGTTGGGATAAATGAAAAGTTGTTACATAAATTATCAGAACATGTTAGTAAAATGATTACAAGAGATAAAGTTTGTTGTTTAGTAGGTATTTGATGAAATAGCTCTGTCTGTTGGTCTAAATTATAACACTTGTAAAGATCAAGTAACGGGATATGTCGATCTTGGGTCCCTGGGTAGACAAAATAAGGTAGCAAATCATGCTCTAGTGTTTTTGGTACAAGATATTAGTAAACATTGGAAGCAACCTATCGTGAATTATTTCACAAAAGATGTTATAAAAATAAATGACCTACAAATTTTGTTAACTGAAATAATTTCAGCATCAGTGTTGTGGATTAAAAATAATTTGTACAGTTTGTGATCAAGTTGCAGTTTTTTTAAAGTCATCTATTACTAAAGAAATCAAGATATATCATAGATATATATCAAGAAAGATATGTTGGAAGAAATTCAGTCTTGTCAATTTCAGTCTCATAAGACAACAAAGTAAAAAATGTACATCTCGTAGAGTGTTAAAACATGATTAAAGTGTTTCAGAAGTGATGGCTCATAGAACAGCTGTTAATGGTTCACGTTAATTTTAATTGTTAACTTCAACTATTAGTAGCTGTTTTGTGATCTATGACTTATGAAATACTTTTTATTCTGTGTATTTTATTATATTTAAATTTACCGGCATTATGATACAGCGACATCTATTAGATAGTAGAATTAGAGGTTACTCTAATTGTGTCTTCCCATGCAGTTTCCTTAATTATTTTATGGTCTGTGTGTGTCGTTTCACTACACATCAGCTACAGATGGCGTACTCTGCCGCTGCTGCCGGCAGAAGACACAGAAAAAACCCTCTTATTTAGTTACTCTTATGGGCCTAGGTATCCTTAAAAATTAATAATCCATTTTTAAAAAGCTGTCAGCCGCTCACATTTTCAAGGAAGACATTGGACCAGCTAACCTTTTCTGCTTCAGAAACCGCCAGTATCAAGAAACGAAGACAACGACAACGACAACACACACACCCGCGCGCGCGCACACACACGCACACACCCACGCACACACACATACACGCGCTCACACACGCACACGCACACACACACACACACACACACACACACACACACACACACACACACACACACACACACACACACACACACACACACACACACACACACACACACCCGCACACACGCACTCACGCACGCACGCACACGCGTACACACACACGCATACGCGCACACACCCACACACACACATACACACACCCCATACCCTCCTTTCCCCTTCACTCTCGCGCTAACCTAAGGGCCACCTTAGCAAAGCGCATCCCAGGCTGCATAGCCGCACTACCCTACCCAACCATACCACACATAAACATGACACCACCCCCGGGATTTACACAGACCAGCCGGCGAAGCAAGGCGAGCGCCAGAAGAAGGCCGGCGGGGCCCAGCCAGGACAAAAAACCACAAAGCGTCTACACCGGTCGGGGTCTTGTTCGTTGTGTCTGCTTGACGTACTCCAACTCAATCGGAGTATTTTATCAGCGTTCGTTGAAACCGAGCACAAAATCTATGTTGTTCGTTATGCAGAAGTATTTCACTCTGATCAATAAGATCATTGCTCTGGTTACTCTGTAATTTGTGCTGGAGTAAAGGGAGTAGAGCAACTAAAGCAAGTAAGTAATCACTATGTGATAATCACCCATGAAAGTGATGTATTCACAATGTTCATCATGGGGTCTTTTGTTTTGGCAAAAATAGTACCTATTAGCAGAGACTGTCTCAGAGGTTGTCACTGCTATTAGCAACTAATATCAGTTCAGAGTAACCCTGTAAGTTGCTATTTTAGATGCTAATAGCTTTGTTCGCGGAGCCTGTCAAATTAGTCCGGGATCAGTCAGAAGCAATCGTTTAGCTACTTCTTTTACGCTATGCTTGTAGGAAATAGCACAGAAAATAGCTGGACGACTGCTTCTGACTTCTGACTGATTCCGGACTAATTTGACAGGCTCCGCGAACAGAGCTAATAGCTACTATTATTGCCAAATCGAAAGGCCCTCATGTCGAGAGGTCTTGCTTAACGCAGCTGCAGCAATAATCAATCATTAATATGTATTTTGTTTTTGTGGCTGATCTCTGTAAATGTAGTATTCTGTGATTTAACATTAAAATGAAAATGTTTGTATGTATTATTTAAAAACATTTCATTTGTTGCTAAGCTTTGTTTATTGTAATACTAACCAAACGGAATTTTAAATATAGTAAATTACAAATTATTTAATTATGAGTGAATCTGACACTAGTGAAGAAGAGTGCGAAGGATTGTTAAAAAAAGCATTACAGGTCGAATTTCCTGAGAATTTTAATCCAAATTCAGTTCCTCAGAATGGTAGAAGACACTTAAGTAATTATTGTTTTTCAATTTCTATTTTATTTAAACTTTTCAGGACAAGAATATTTGCACCATGTTATATATGAAAGACGTAGATGTAGAAAATTAGTGACTGCGAATATAGATACTGATAGATTTAAAAGTAAACAAACCATTCACATAGCCCTGGTATGTATCCATATAAATAATTTATATTAGTTTAATTATTTAAATAACATGTTTTTTAGGACAATTCAAAAAAAGAAGCACCAAAATATTGCATACCTTCTGAAGAATGGCAAATTGAAAAATTAAACGATTTTTCAGAATTTAGACAATATGTACACTCAAAAATATTAGAAGAGCCAACCGAAACAAATTTTGATGAATTGGGTTTCATAGAAAGAATTAAAGGAGAGACACCAGTTTTTTCAGAAATAACAAAATATTCTCAATCAAGTAAGATAAGGATGCTTCAGATAATTACCAAATATTTGGATAACTTAGAGCCAGGGGAAAGCATATATGGTAATATGGGAACCTGGGTTTATGCAATTTTAACATTACTGGAAAAACCTCTCAGTCCAAGCTACTGCCACACTATTCGGGAATTTGCCAAAAGGTGTTCTGTGGTTCGATTTAATTTATCTGAGACTGTTGAAGAATCTGCATATACTCCTTTAAATTTGTATATATGCTTAATTGCAAAATATTTTAATCAGTTAGACTTAGCAGACTGATGACTTAAAAAGTTATTTTTATACTGCGGTATTAAAAGTATGATTTACTAAATGTAATATTTTTTAATAATACACATTTTAAATATTTTATGAAGTACTTTCATTCAAAAGGATTTGCCTTCTGTATCCTCACATCAAAAACAAACTGCAATGAAACGAGGGATTCTGCCGACCGTGAGAATATATTTTTCGTAATTAATAGGTACAAACGGAAGTTTTTCTATTTTTCTCAAAAATTTTAATTTTTCATAAAGATTCAGCATTTTGAAACTGGAAAAAAGAATGTAAGTATCTAAGTAATTAAAATTTGAATAGAGAAAATTTAAATTTGTTAAAAATGAAAAAAGGCCATTCAGTATAATCTCTATAATCCGGCACTTCATTACACTGGCACGTCCAGTAATCCGGCGTTATTTTTTCCGCGTTTGTTTACTATTCTTGAAGAATACAGTTTATACAGTTATAGTTTGGTTGAGAGATTATTTTAGATACATAAAAACCTTACAATATACATATATATATGCATATACAACTGTAATACGTATGTATCTATGTACCAATCTCTTTGTTAATAAACAATTAAAAGTAACGTTTTTTAAATTTAATACTGTTTACATATACATTTTCCATTAATCCGAATTTTCCAGTACTCCGGCACTCTTCGGTTTTTAATGGTGCCGGATTGGTGAGATTTTACTGTATTTGTAATAATAATTCTAAAATAATGCAGATTTCGCAAATTTCACTGACAACGTTTGACTGCATATTTACGACGATAAATAAATACGATCTACGAAAAAAAAGTTAAAAAAAATTTGTGGTTTTCGAGTTGCAAGCCTTCAAAGTTGTCAAAAATAAAACTAATTTAATTAATAACTTCATAACCCTTTTACGAATCGCATTAAAGTTTGGCACATTTATTTGGACTATTATGGCGTATTATTTCTTAAAACTTTAGTCAAATCGATGTACTGGGTGATAGTTTTTTCCAGTTACCCCTCCCTTTTAGCAGTCAAAACTTTTACAGTGGTCATATTTTTTTAAAACGGGCAGCAACATTGGAAATGTCCTTTTATTTAAAAAAAATATTGTCTCGATAAAATAAAGTCAAGTGATATGAGCCTTTCATCTCACTTTACATCTTAAGTCTTACCCTCTCTCTTTTCCTTCTACACTCTTAAGTAGTTTGCATCTTCTCCTTTTCAGTTTTCAATTAGGCACTTAAAAAGCAAAAAGTGAAGAGTAATTTTATTTCGTAACAAATTTACAGTACAGTCTCCTGTTGTGCTTTTGAAAGCAACATTTGGAAGAGTAAACATGAGATTTGAAACGTAAAAGTTACTTTCTAATAAGCTTTTCAACATATCCAAGTAACCTAACAATCAGTCAATAATTTACAAAAGAGAAAATTAGTGATATGATAGAACACATATAGTCTGGTAAGTTTTAGCATTTGAAATCGTCATCAGATACATACCTAGCTTAGTGCGGGATAAGTTGTAAACGTCAAACACTGATACTCAGAAAATTCAAGTAACAATATTATGTCGGTTGCCACTGTTACTATATTGTATAGAAATAATATTCCATCCTATCTAAATAATCAACTGATAGGTCTTATTCGAGTAAATGGTCTAACATTTTATAATTAATTTAAAAAACCATGCAGTCTAGTAACATGCAGTAAGAAACTATATTTGGGAAGCCTTTAATTTAATACTGTGGGATGAATATATTTGCAGATAAAAAAAAATTGCAATTTATATTTGCACGGAATTGCTTCAGCCATTTTGTTGTAATTTAAAAAAAAAATTTTTTTTCTGCAATTTTAACACTATATCTCGAAGATATTACGGTCACATGTTTATAGAAACCGTTTGCACAGGGTGTCCCGAAATTCATGCAACAAAATTTGGTCACAGATTCTTAAAACAAATTTAGGGAACCCGTATTTTTTATTTTTGCCAAGTGGCCCCCTCTTTCGGAGTTACAGCCCCCTGAAGTCCGCCCCTACGAATAATCTTTTTTTTTATATCAGAACCCTGTTGTACGAGAATCACTAAATTTGGTACACGGGAATTTTATGACATGTGGAATCTCACAGTGTTACGCTTTTTGGCGAGAAACCCCCTTAAGACACTTTTTCGTGGGCCCCCTTGTCTTTGGAACCAGACAAATTTGGTTGCAAATTCGATTTTTTTTTAATTATTAGTTAGCTAGAAAGCCATTGAATTTAGAAAGTTTTTTGTCTCTTTATATTTGTTTCGTAAAGCGCAATGTGTTTGAGAAAAATGGCGAATCACGATATGCATTTGATCACATTTTGACATTTTTCTTGAAAATATTGCGTTTTACGAAAAAAGTATAAAGAGACAAAAAGTTTCTAAATTTAATGGCTTTCTAATGGACTGATAATTTTTAAGAAATTTAAATATGCGGCCAAATTTTTTTGGCTCCAAAGACAAGGGGGCCCACGAAAAATTGTCTTAAAGGGGTTCCCCGCCAAAAAACGTAGCACCATCAGATTCCCCATGTCATAAAATCCCTGTGTACCAAATTTAGTGATTCTCGTACAACAGGGTTCTGAGATATAAAAAAAAGATTATTCATAGGGGCGGACTTCAGGGGGCTGTAACTTCGAAAGAGGGGGCCACTTGGCAAAAATTAAAAAAACGGGTCCCCTAAATTTGTCTTAAGAATCTGTGACCAAATTTTGTTGTATGAATTTCGGGACACCCTGTATTGACTAGTAAAGTAGAATTGGTCTTTAAATTTTGTCCAAGTAGCCATATCCACTTTAAAACGATAATCACTCATACCTTTAGAACCTATTCTCACCTTCAGAATTTTCGTTTTGTGTACATTACTCATTGTCTTCCTATTTAGCCCATGATTCATTACGGATCATTTTGAATGCAAGATGTAACTATTCTTAATAATACTTAATGAAAAATGATTGAAGTTGGTCTTTTGCAATAGATAAAATACAAAATATTATGCAGAGTTGAAAAGTAAACGGAAAAATTGCATAAGGTTTAGAAAACAGTTTTTTTTTTTACAATATTTTATAGGTATTAATCTTAAGCTAGGTAATTATAGAACAAATTCAAAAACATGTTACAAAATGTTATCAAATTAAGTCAAACAATGTTCTTCGATACAAGAAATTGAGGCATGCAAAATAGGTATATCTAAGTCCAAAGACAAGAAACAGCTGATATGAAACAACTATTCTATATCCCAATTAGTTTGTATTTGTACATTGAAAATGAAGAGTAAAAAATGAGAAGTTATGCTTCATAAAACTCAGTATTAGTGTAAAGTACATTTTTTTTAAAACAACTATAGTAGAATAATTGAAAAGTAGGTACTTATCCAAAAATAAGCTTCAATAAGATAATCTAATTGTAAGTCCAGTTACGACTTCATGAACTAGGTTTTATTATGTAATTTACTAAATTTAAAAGAAAACCTATTTATTTGAATATTTGGAAAGCTCTCACTCGGTATGATTGATTTGAAAAATAGATGGTAAAAAAAAATTCCTGACAATTTCTGTAATTTGTATGAAAATTCCTTGCAGTTTTAAAAAAATCGGAACTTTCCATCTGCATATGATTTGAATAATAAGAGTAGGAACATAAGCGTATACTAATGATGACAGTAAGAACATTTTACAAAGGACGGTTCTGTCTTTTTCAAAATAAAGACAACGCGCAAGCGCGTGTTCATTGATTTTTGAGTTTTAGTTCTCTTGTTTACTACTCGTATCGTATTCATTCTGGGAACGACAACATAACAGTAAAATTTGCAACAATGACGAATTTCCGATAAGAACAATAAGAAATTACCTGGGCTATGGAACTATTCCGCACAAATGATTTTTACATTTTTGTAAATGGTGAATATTCTTTGTGGTGGGACCGTCAAACCGGAGCTTTTATACCAAAAACAGGTAAATTGGCATTAATATATCATTTGATCAACAATTTAAATTATGTGATAATAGAACAATCAAGTTTATTGACGCCCCCTATTAAATTAAATTTATCTGCTTTGTTTAACCGACTGAGATTTTTTATTAACCTAAAAATATTATTTGAAAAAGATATTGAGAATGTTAGTTTTGTTTACTTATTTATTTGTAATTTTTAGAATGGGATTTGACTGATGCTGATGATCCTGTATGTCTTGGTTTATGTGATGGAATTATAGGAAAAGTAGAACATGTCCCATTATTCGATCCTCGATTACTTCTTATTAAAGAAAGTCTTCCAGTAGGCAAACTTCATGGAGATCATGAAGTATACAAAATAAAGTCAGTAGTGTTCCTTCCGTTAAGCCTTGAAAATGTAGAAATAAATTTATTACCCTGTCGTAAACATAAAGCCTTAAATATAAAACCAAACACCAATACCAGTTCATTATTCGACATCCAGAAAAATACAGCTTTTACTAAAACATGGGGAACACTGAAAAATGCAGGAAACACCATAAAAAATACAACGCAACAGGCGGCTGCAATGGCAACTGGTGTTCAGAAAAAGAGTAACATTAAGGATAAGGAACGGTTTGAGAAGCAAATCGTTGAAGAGTTCTACAAAATATTTAATGAAACAAATTCATTTTATTATTCACGTACAACTGATCTAACAAACTCGTTACAGCGATTATGTAATTTGGAAAAACATAATGTAATTGATCCACAGGCTTTATGGAAAACCGTCGATGACAGATTTTTTTGGAATAAACACATGTTAAAGAGTATCGTAGATTCAGAGGTAAGTTAATGTTTAAATATGAAAAATGTTATGTACCTAAAAATATGTCATTAATAGAAGTTGTTGAATGGGGGAAAAAATAGGTATTTTATGTAGGTATACAAATGTTGATTGAGGTTTCTCAAAATGATTTTTGTCATTTTATTTTATGCAGCACGTCAAATTCTATCTGGTCAAATTCTAATATATATATTTCAAGATACACATGAGTGACTATTAAAACACACTTTCTTCTTAATTGAGTATTGCACTTGGTTATGTCAGTTAATAAGATGACTAAAAAAGTTGGTGTAATTTCATTACAATGAGGAGAAATCACCGAGGAAATCACTCTCCGCTTTTTTATTTGTTATTATTTACTGACTGTTGTAGAAAGGATATTGAGCTTTCCTCTAATTTTATATGAAATTACATATATTTTGTATTATTATCATGAATCAGAATTTAATATTTTTAACTAGTGCAAAATCTAATTTAATCTGACACAATAGCTCTAAAATTTACTTATAAAATTGTTCATGTTACTAAATAGTAGAAAGCTAAAATAAAAATGATTAAAATATGTAATTTTTTATTTGGATATTCGAATTGTAACTAGAAGTTAAAAACACAATGTTTGTTTATAGAATCCATTGTGCAATCCTTGGATACTTCCCATCATTCAAGGGTATATTCAAATAGAAGACTGTAAAGTCGAAATGGGCAGAGACTTAGGAGATTTGTCAGAGGGATATTATGAAATTTTTACTTTATGTATTTTATCCAGGAGAAGCAGATTTAGAGCGGGAACAAGGTACAAATTAATTCTATATATTATTATATTTGTGGTAAAATAATTTTTTAATAACTTTTTTGAGTAAATTAGGTATATAATTGAAAGAGATTGTACAAAAAACTTGCAATATGATTTAATGAATGACATACAGAGTATTTCAGATTGATTAAATATGAGTTATAAAGTTGATAATAGGACATTCCTGTGTTTTACTGATAAGATAATCCTGGGTTATTTATTAATACTTTTGCTTCTGATTTATTTCAATAATCATGCAAGTTGCTAAATTATTGCTTATTTTAGTACATTTTTTTATACAGCGTATTATTTTAAAAATTTTTTATACAAGATGTTGCAATGTTTTACTGACAGAATTGTACATCACATGATAGGTGGCTATGACTAAAAATGAGAATAAAATTAACTTTGCCCACACATAATTTTTAAGGACAGGGTGAAAAAATTTTATAAATCCAGTTTGTTTTACACTTGGTTTTACATATTTCCTGGTAGATGGATTGATGCAGTGGGTCTATTCGCTTCCTGATTAAGACATCAAACTTGAAACCATTACAGTTTTAGGTACTTAAAGTTATCACACAGACCACATAAAAAATGAGACTGCTTTATGTCATATTTTGATGAATATGTTTTAACAGTTAAAAATTAAAAAAAAACTCAAATTTACAAATCACCTATAGAATTTTGCAGTTGGAATATTGGAACACCTAGTATATTCATCATTTTGCATATTTTATTTTTAATTTAAATAACATTTTTGCAGAGAAGTTTTATAGTAAATATGTAACTAAATATAGAGGATAATCATTAAATTATTAAAGTGAATTATATTTTGTAATACTTCTTTTCGAACCAAATGCATTTAGGAATGTACAGAGTCATCATAAATGTTTAGAAACCATCTGACCGCTGAGTTTAGGTAACTAACATTGCACTGTTGGTATTGTCAACCAAAAAATCCCTAAATTTTAGCGCCGTCAATATTGATGATTTATTTACAATGAACAATGACAAACCGTTACGGTTGTACTCGAGATAATGCGGTTGCTGATTGGTTGAATAGAATCTTGGTGAAAATTACACCATTCGTGATATAACCATAACCTAATTATACTTGTCAATTTTTAGTTTAGAAGAAAATGATTTTTTAGTTAGTTAAAGATAATATTGAGCCTTCATAAATGATTACAAGCCATGTAACCAGTAATTTTGTTTGAAACTAATTTTATTTCTTTCACGTTGGCAATTAAATTTCAGTAAAATTAAAACAATAAGATCAAGATTACATTAACTCTTTCAGGCACAGAAATTATATTAATTTTTTTACTCAAGCGTCACAAAAAATTATAGCTTTTGTGAATTATAATGATTTTATTGTAAAGAATACTTAAAACTAAATACATTACAGCTGATTTTGTGACCGTGTGTTAGCTCACAGACTCCTGGGGGGGGGGGGGGGTACAGGGTCTGTAAAACTATGGCTGAAGGGAAATGATTGTTAAATAATTTTTAAATGTAGGTACTTAAAAAATTCTGGTACAAAATATGTACCACCAAGACCTGGAGGAATAAAAAACGGTGGTACATTTTATGCACCACTGAGACTGAAAGAGTTAAAACACAACATTCTGTTTCACCGGCTGTGTAATTTTTCACGAGATTCTAGTCAACCAATCAGCGATCGCATTATCTCGAGCGTAAGTGTAACGGTTTGTTACTGTTCATTGTAAACGAATTATTAATATTGCTGATGCGAAGATTTAGGGATTTTTCATTACCAGTCGTGAATGTTGGGTTGCCTAAGCTTGGGGGTCACATGGCTTGTAAATATTTATGAAGGCCCTATACTTACAAATTTTAAGAGTTTTCGTTTATTTTGTCTAAATTTAAATTTCCATTTGGAACTAGTCAATATTAAAAGAAAACGGAAAAATGTCATGTTGATATTGGTTGCTTAGCGGCGTTACTTTTATTTTTAACTTAATTTCTTTACATACATTTTAATTAGACTACAACTTTTGATGTTATTATTGGAGTAAGTATTAAAGCCTTTAATAAAGTTCTCAATAATTTGACTAATCAAATAATATTTGCCAATTTTATATAGTGTTTTTAATTAACGATGTTAGAATTTGGAAACACCCAACTGTTTTCAAAATGTATGTAAATAGTGTCATTTTGTCCTAAACTAAAAATTTCTCTTTATGTAGAATGATTAGTCTTATTTGGTATTTAGACAAAGGTAGAAAAAAGTTATTAGAAGAAAAATTTTTTCCAAAGTTAGAAATAAAATTGTTGCCTATTTGCTGCAAATTTTATAGTGGCTACTGTACAATTTATGAAATTATCAATATTTATATGGGGGATATTGACAAAACATTTAGGAAATAGTGATGATCGAAAAATGCTAATTGATATAAACTCTAGTGGAAATTTTGTTAAATCTACTTGGAAACCTTTTTGAAGTCAAAATTTAGTATTAAACTTTATTTAGGTATATCATTTTTTTTTTTGTAATTATTAGTTAGTTATTAATTCTGTTTAATTTTTTATTGGTAGGTATAAACGACGTGGTGTCGATGAAAATGGAGAAGTAGCAAATTATGTAGAAACGGAACAAATTGTTTCCTACCAAAGTCATGAGGTTTCATTCGTTCAAGTCAGAGGTTCTGTTCCTGTGTATTGGTCACAGCCAGGTTTTAAATATAGACCACCTCCTCGAATTGATAAAGGTAAGATTTAAATTGCCCCCTTTATAAATAAAGATGCAAATCTTAGAATATTTATTATCGCCATGAGTTATTTTATATATTTTTCACTTGAAAATTCAAGAAAACTACAAAATTAATGAAAATAAATAATAAAGAAAATTGTTAAACACACTTTGGGTTAATATAACTAATTCAGACTTATTATTTTATCTTTTACAAGAAAAATGTGTGAATGTTCCATTTAAACTTTCTTGTCACTAATCAATTACTACTTCTAGTCAACTAATGTCACTGTATATATAGTCCGCCAGTATATACAGGGTGTGCCATTTAACACTCCCACTGCCAATATCTCCGAAATAAAAAAAAATTATTTTAGTTCCGGAAACTGAGGTTGTAAGATTCCTCGAATAGCTTCAAATTGCAGTTAGAATTGTTAGTTCAAATTTTTCTATAAAAATTTGTTGATTCCTGGAATGTGGAAATGCGGTCCATCTGAAAGATCGTTAAATTTTAAGTCATTTTTGTAATATAAAGTTTTTCCCCAATATTTACTTGTTTTCGCGACATGTCGAACGTTTTAAGCGTTCCATGCGGAAGGCTTTCCCTTCTGCTCATGTTATGTGCTTTAAAAAATCCTCAACATTCATGTCAAACTTGAACTCATCACTGAACCCAGTATCAGTTTTACTTTTGTCTTAGTGAAAACAAAACTGTTTATTTAACTTCGATAATAATTATTGCCTCTAAGAATACTTTACCTTGTAAAAACAGTAACGAGAACATGCCCTCGATACATTAGTCTTTTTCTTGGCTCCACATCACAGTAATTTTTCTCCCAGTAGCCATCTTTGACGGTTGTTAAGAGGTTTCTGTGGCCTTTTTATCACTTTTGGCAGTCGACCAGAACTCTTTCCATGAATGTCTATGCTATCAGTTTCTCAGTACGTTTTAGTTATATCTCCAATTGTGGATTTCAGCATATTTACTTCTCCAACAATTTTTTTCCCAAGTAAGAATGTTTAAACTTGCAAAAGAAGCATAAATATTTTTTTTAAATACTAACTCCAAACAAGTATAAATATGGTAGGGTTAAAATATTAAATTTTTTGAACTACCTACAGGATAGGCTATACTTCTAATTATCCTCTTTTCACATAGAAAGACTCTCTGACCCATAATAGAGTTCTTCCAAATCACAACTACATAAGCATAATAGACATTAATTAACGTCCATATTGGCAGTAGATGTTTTGGAATTATTTTCATGTTTATTCTGTATATCAATGTAGTGAGCTACATTTTCTAGAAATGATGATATCCATTTATTAGCATTGCCCATTATGCCATATTTATTCAGATGAGATAGTGTTTTTTTTTTTTATTATTAACGCAATCAAACGCTTTACTTAAGTCACAAACAATGGTTACAAGACCCAAATCTATGTAATAGGCCAAATTATCAAGAAATGTAATGTAATGTGTTGAGGGGTGTGTGACATTGATGTAATATGTGTCTCTGGTGTGTGACTCTGATGTAATGTGTGCGTCGCTCTGATGTAATGTAATCTATTGACTCTGATGATTGCCAGAAACCAGGTTGATTAATATTAAGTATATGGAATTTTCTCAAAAAAAATCTTCAGTGTAATATGAACTACTCCAGTCTGTAGTTAATATTGTTCAAGTCTTTTCATTGAAGAAAAACCTTTTAGTAAAAATTGTGGTATTACTCTGAGAATCATTGATAAATTGAAAGAAGAGATTTTCTTAATCAACTTGGAATGTTTGTTCCTTAATTACTTATGTCCAGTATGATATCCATTATTTTAAGTATTGGAAAAAAATTAAGAAATACTTTTTAGGAGAGACTGAAACAAAGGCTGCTTTTGAAAAACACTTCAATAAAGAGGTGCAAAAGTATGGACCTATGTGTATTATTAATTTAATCGAACAAAGTGGCAAGGAAAAAGTGATATTCGATGCTTATTCACACCAGGTTCTTCAATATAATAGCCCATTTCTTACATATGTTACATTTGACTTCCACGAATACTGGTAAGTTTAAAAGTATATAGTGTGTATAATTTAGTATGAAGAGAAGAATTTAATTCCTCAGTGAAAATTAAAGAGAGGGATCTTTCATATAATAACAATGTCTCTGCCCTCCCACCTCTAAAGAAAAATTTAGTTCTTATGTTTTTAGGATGGAGAAAATTGGGGACATGAAATTATGTACATTTTTTTTCCTATCGAAAGGGTTTTTGTTGGATAATTTCTTAATCTTCTCCTTCAGTCCCAAGGGGTAGCAGTAACCACCCCTACAAGTAATCAACAGATTTGTTTCAAATAAATTAAGCCATCTAAAAATCTAAAAGAGATGTTTAAATGTCACTAAATTATTTGTAGGGGTGGTTATTTTTACCTCTTGCAATAGAAGGAGAAAGTCAAGAAATTATCTAGCCTCTTTGCTAATGGGAAAAGTATATGTAATTTATTTTTTTTAACTTTCTCCATTGTTAAGGCAAAAAATAAAAACTTTTCTCTACCCATTTGAAGGGGATCCACAAAAAGGGGGCGGGTAATTTTTTTTACGGAAAAGATCTCTACTTTCAATAAAAAGTTTTCTTAATTATTTCACACTTATTAATTTGCATATATGTATATTTATGTTTTTGATTTTCTCTGACAATAACATACATATGAGTTCAATACAGTTCAAACAAAATTTAAAAAATCAAAAAAAGTTTTGGAATCATAAATGTAATTTACAAAATTTTAGCAGAGGCATGCATTTTGAAAACGTGTCCATCCTCATAAACGCAGTCAGTGATATTATAAAGGATATGAACTACTGTTGGAGGGACAAGCAGGGGCATATTTGTTCGCAGAACGGTGTTTTTAGAGTAAACTGTATAGACTGCTTGGACAGAACTAATGTGGTTCAGGTAATTCACTGAATGATAATAACAAATTAAGTTTTTAATTTCAAAAAATCCAATTTCTAATACGTTAATATTATTTTAGACGGCTTTAGGTAAAGCTGTCATGGAGATACAGTTTTGCAAATTGGGTTTAGTGTCACCAGAGGGAAGCATGCCGACAAATATTAGAAATACTTTTCAGCTTCTGTGGGCAAATAATGGAGATATAATTAGTAAACAGTATGCCGGAACAAATGCTTTGAAGGTAGGTTAGGAAAAATGTAAATATTGCTATACAGAATGAACCAAATAACTTCCTTTTCCCCATTATCTCGTTTATACATAATCTGACGTTCTTATTTTAAATTATGTGTAAATTCGCTTGTTGTGAATTATCCCAATTTGCCTTTTGAAATTACTAATTTTTTCAGGGTGATTATACAAGAACAGGGGAAAGAAAATTTACAGGAATTATGAAAGATGGCATGAATTCAGCTAACAGGTATACCTTACACAACATTTTTTCTGTTACAACATAATAATGATATTTACTTAATTTTATTAAAAAATATAGGGTGTAACACAGTAGTAGGTCTAAATTTAACAAGGAGAAGGTAAGGTAGTCGGATTTTTGTAATTTTTGATATTTATGGTACGTGTAGTTTGGACCTTGAATAAGAATTTTCCGAAGTAGTTCGACGCAACGTTCATAAATTAACGGGATAATCGATTTTGAAGTTTTACCTGACAGTTAAATTCACTAGATGTGACGCATTTTTCAACTGGTAGCGTGGCCTAATTGGTGGCGTTCGGGACTGACAGTCACGAGATCGCTGGTTCGAGTCCGTCGCGTGAGATATTTTTTATTTTTTTTTCAAAACGCACCATATGGTTTTTTATTATTTTTTCATCTCGAAAATTATGAACAAACGAAATATACTAAATACTTATGTATATGTAGGAATATTCTTCAAATATTTCATTAAAATGCACAATTGGTTGATAAAAAATACTTATTTATTATGAATTAACAATAAGATTTCATTAAAAAAAAAAACAAATGAGGTCAGGTAGGATGTTCTTTTATTTTATATTTATGTTAGTATTTCAGATTTTACGCAGTATGGCACGAGCCAGAATGGTAGCTATCATAAAAAAATGGGAAGCAGAAATTTTTTAAGCATCTAGCTTCCTTTCTTTTTATTTTTCTGATCTCGAAAATTATGAACAAACGAAATATTATGAGCTAGATTCTGTGGGTCGTCCACCGTGTTTAAAAAAAACCGCTTACAGAACACAGTGCTTGGTAATAAAAAGTTTCGTTAAATTCCACAAAGGGTAGAGAAGCATCGAAACTATGTGATGAAAGAACAATCTTTCAAAATATTAACGAAATTTGCTTCAACGTCGATATTTTGAAAACAAAATGCCCCTGAAAACATAACATTTACACGACATGCTAGATGCTTAAAAAATGTCTGCTTCTTATGTTTCTATGATAATTATAATTCTGGCTTGACTTCGTTTGTTTTTTTTAAAGAAACTTTATTGTTAATTCATAATAAATATTGTTTATCAACCAATTGTGCATTTTAATGAAATATTTGAAGAATATTTCTACATATTGTTAGAGACCTTGGTCCCCAGCACCAATGTTTTGCTGAAGTAATCATAACATCCATCAATCGGCAACTGCTTGCGGCACATAATGTAATATCAGTTATTCATTCAATCTATAGCAGCCGAAGTAGGCACTTGTATTTTAAATTCATTCTTATATTATTTTAATAAATTCCTTTGTTCTTTTAAAACGTCTTTAACAATATACATAAGTATTTATTATAATATTTCGTTTGTTCATAATTTTCGAGATGAAAAAAATAATAAAAAACCATATGGTGCGTTTTGAAAAAAAAAATATATGTCACGCGACGGACTCGAACCAGCGATCTCGTGACTGTCAGTCCCCAACGTTACCAAATAGGCCACGCTCCCAGTTGAAAAACGTGTCACATCTATTGGATTTAGCTGTCAGGTAAAACTTCAAAATCGATTATCTTGGTAATTTATGAACGTTGCGTCGAACTACTTCGGAAAATTCTTATTCAAGGTCCTAACTACACGTACTATAAATATCAAAAATTACAAAAATGCGACTACCTTACCTTCTCCTTGTAAGAATATTATTTTATACAAGGCGATTCATAACTTATCCCAAATAGTACCATAGTGTAAAAAATAAATAAAAATGACACTGAAAATTGTTTAAAAATATTTATCTGCAGGCCACTGGAATTTAGTCATCTGTAATACCTGTCCTAGAGCAATGTGCGCACACTCATTCGGCACTTACAAAAGGTTTACGCACAAAAAACAAAACATGTTACAACGACTGTTCAAAATTGTATCCATCAACTTATAAACACATGGGTATGTTTAATCCAGTTATGCTGAACTAAGAAAAATGTACCTACTTTTCGCTGGTGTTGTAGTTGTAAATAATTAGCAGTAGCTTTAATTCATTCACGTAAATTGTTTAGTTTCCACTTCAGTCCGATACACATCAGTTTTTAAATCTTCCCATAAAAAAAATGTCAAACGGGTTTAAGGCAGGAGACTGCGATGACCACTTCTTGAACTTAAGGTGATCTAGAACATTTTGTTGAAAATTATGCAAGAAATACATTTGTTATCAAACCTGTCTGCCTGGAAAACGTTCTGTAAACAGCAAGAAACTACTAATGCATTTTGTTTTTTGTCATAAATTAAAACAATATTCACTAATATTCCAGTACATAGGCTATTCTGAACATTTGTAAGACTGATGTAAACAGTCAACCAGGCAATAAGAGCACATTAATACTGAATAAATACATTTGTCGAACTGGCTGAAGTTACTTACATACATAATATATATTTTAATAAACAAGTAGTTGTTCAGCTATATACATATGCTTTTAAATATAACAACTAAATATTTTTTTCTTCAAATCCAAAACTTTTTGGTGATATTTTTAATGATGTATACAGTGTGTCCAAGATAAGGATGGGATAACATTAGGATTTAGGAAACGGTAAGGGATACGGGGTTGGATCAAATTAGAAAAAAAATGTGTTTTGTTATACCTAACAATATGCTGTTTAGAAAATTTTAAAATTCCAGGTGGTTCTCGAGGATATCTGGAATAACCCGAAATTTTGCAAAATCGTTTTATTTTTTTCTGGTTTTATTTGAAAACGAATTTTAAAATAAATCGCATATTTACAATGCCACTTTTTTCACTCTATCCAATGGCGTCAACATTTTTGCAATCCGACGTTTTGTCTTCGAGGGACCATCATCAAGTTAATTTTTTTAAATATGTCATTCCTATTTTTATGACAAAATTTAGTCATTTTTAATTTTAAATTAGATTGTAATCACTTAAAAGATTTTTAGCTTGTTTTAGCTACCATTTAAAATTTTTTTTGAGTATGGCTCTGAACGCTATTAGTAATTTTATCTAATTTAGAATTAAAAATGACTTTAGATTTTGTCATAAAAATAGCAGTCACATATTCAAAAAAAATAACCTGATGATGGCCTCTCGAAGACGAAACGTTGGATTGCAAAAATGTTGATGCCATTGGATAGAGCGAAGAAAGTGAAAATATATGCAATATATGCAATTTATTTTACAATTTGTTTTCAAATAAAGTCAGAAAAGAAATAAAACGATTTTGCAAAATTTCGGGTTATTCCAGATATCCCCGGAACTACCCGGAATTTTAAAACTTTCTAAACGGCATATTGTTAGGTATAAAAAAAACAACTTTTTTTCTAATTTTAGCCACCCCGTATCTCTTACCGTTTCCTAATGCTATCCCATCCTTATCTTGGACACACTGTATATCTCCAAAGTTTCTTGGATAAGCCTGTATGTTAAAATAAAATTTTTAATATATATTCAATAAAGTTATATGCATTGTGAAAAAATCAAGTATCAACTTAAACTAGTAGCAAAGATATTAGTTACATTTTTCTCGAAAATTGTGGGATCCTACTGTAAAAAAAGAATATGCTCCTTCACTTTTGACTCATCCTTGTGTTACCCCCTATGTATTTAACTTATACTGTTATTTAAAAAGTATTTACTAGTGGCACATGTAGAAAAAAACGTGAATGCGACCTAAATTAACATTAACATTGACAATGAACAATGGTTATGTGAAATTTGGAACATATGGTCTCTTGGCATCCCTTCTGGATATGCCACTGATAATTATAGTATTTGTTATAACGGGTGATTTTTTTAATCTGAAATTTTCAAATATCTCGAAACATAAGCATTCTACAAAAAAATGTTCATAATCAAAATTTAATCATTCCGTGGAGCAAATACATTAGTGCTAAAATTAGCCCCATCTCTCCTTTCTTGTAGGTGGGGTGGGGAGTAATTTTCCCCCCATTTTTTATTGCAGATTCGGATTCTACATTCTAAACATTCATGATAGATGGCGCTGTAATCGACGTAATTTAATTTTTTTCGATTTTTCCTACTGAGAACCTATGCATACGATTTTGCAATATGTTTGCCATAAAAAATACCACGTTTAATGTAAATACTCGAAATTCATCATTATTATTTGGCAAATTTCCAATAACTGGGAATTTTTATTTGTAGAAATGTAAATGGCTGGTGAATAAACTTTTAGCATGACAGGAACAACAATGTGGAAATAGTAGTATTCTGTTCCTTTCGTGTTTGTGTTCGATTAAAATGAGTTGTTTCTTAAAGTTATTTCTTTCTTTGTACGACTATTTTGTGCAAGCATTCCAAAAGTCATAAGTGAAAATTTGGGAAATAAAATTTCTTTTTAGACTAATTTTCATTATTTACAGGGAAAAAATGGTATTTTTTATTCCAACTGTATTACAGAATCCTATGCATAGGCTCTCAGTAGGACAAATTGAAAAAATTGAATTTCGTCGATTACAGGGACATTTATCTTAAATCGAAAACAATTTTTCAAACAAATCCTACGTACTTTTAACCACAGAATCCAAATCTGCAAAATAAAAATAGGAATTTCTATATAAGATTTCAAGGTTATTCCCGCCACATCTACAAGGATTGGGAAGGTGGACTAATTTTAGCACTAATGTACTCCCTTTGTGGAACGATTTAATTTTGATTACAAACATTTTTTCTGTACAGTGCTTCTTTCTCGAGATATTTGAAAGTTTCAGGTAAAAAAAATCTCCCGGTATTTAGAATCCTTGATGAAATATATTAGACAACTATCAGTAGCACAATATGTCTTATGTCAGAATTTTTGCTATTAATTTTATGGCAAATTCATTATTACAGATATCATTATATTTAAAAAATATATCTAATATTTATTATACAGTGTTTTGGAACAATGTATCATAAATATCCACCTTCAAATTTTGCTTTTTCCTATTTCATTAACGATTACTATAACTTTTTAAGGAAGCAATTTTTTTAAAGAAACTTAATTTAAATTGGTTTAAATTCATCGAAGAAGTTACTTTTGAAGTTTCGGCTCGTTCGTTACTGGACACTCCATATATTACAGATCAGAAAGTGAATGACTTTGAACCTGTCAATTACAATTTTCTCAAAAAATTACTGTTTTATGTAAAATCAAATTTACATTTACATATAAATGTACTATGAACAACCTAACTGCACAAAAATTATATCATGACATGTCACTGGGGAAAATCCTAGCTAGCGACTTCAAGCAGAAAACTAGTAACATGAGACCTTTAAAAACTTACCTGCACCAAATTTCAATTCAATATGTTTTTTTGGAAAAGATATAGTTACAATGTTATTTAAAAAAAATCCTCTGTGATGCCCTGTATCTCAAATACACAAGACGACCATGGTGCGTAGGAAGAAATCTTATATTTTGTGGTACTTTTTTTCAAAACACCCTTTCTGTATTTCTAAATAATGGAAAAACTTAAAATCTTGTTACTTTTTATTACACATTAGATTTATATGTGTATAAAATAATCGGCTACTCAATAAGCATTGCATTTTAATGAATTTATGACATAATTTCAGTTACCTATTAGGATTTATTTCCATGATTAAACTGAATTTATAAAATCATAGTACAAAAGTATTTTTTAAATCCTTTTGCTTTCCCATTTCTAGCAGTACAAATTTTTCTGCAAACTTTTTTTGTTTGCAACTTACTTTTGTCTAGTCTAGAATAACAACTCATTCACTGAAATACTTTTTTTTATTGAATTCAGGAGATAATAGTGTTATTTATGGTATTTAATCAGAATATTATGTATTTACTGAAAAATAATAGGTAGATAGTACTGGTTTTAATTAATATAAATTCAAAATATTATGTTTCCTTTATTTATCACCAAAATTAATAGCGACTTGGTGTAAAATTTAAAAAGAACTTGATCTAATATACATATATAATTTAAATCGGCAGAATGAATGTACTGATCAGAAGTTACTCATACGATCCTTTCCTCTTGTAGATACTACAAAAATCACTTTAAAGACTCCATAAGGCAATGTTGCCTAGATATAATGCAAGGCACAGAGTTAACAGTTGTAGAAATCCAAGATATCTGGGCATACATAAGAACAGTAGGCGGTATCGCAAGCGAAATCCTTCCTGCTGATCCACCTTCCCTAGCACCTCACCTAGCCCTTCAGTTAGAATTTGATTTTGCCTACGTTTTGTATCAAATGTCTAGGTTAGTCACACGTAAAACAACTTACAAACAAAATGTTTTCAAGGATTCTAATAAAGTGTTTGTGTTTATGTGATTGGTTGCATTTAATCCACTATGCTAAGCCTGGCGCAACGATTAATCTGGTGGATCATTTTGGTTCACTAGTTAACCACTAATTACATTTTATTAAGAGATACACATAATATGAATTAGACTTTTTATATACCATGTTCAAGATGAGGGTGGCAATATTGAAAATGGAGAAAGATATAGGTTGGCTCAAATTAGAACAATATTACTTCATTAGGAAAGGGGACCGCCTAGCCGGGTGTCTTGGCCGGTGGATTTCGATCTGCCAAGTTAAGCATCACGGACGCAGGCTGGAACTTGGATGGGTGACCTAAGGCAGGCTCGGGGACGTGGCTGTGGCAGCCTACCAGAGATCTGGGTCGCTCAACATCTTCCGCATGCGTGTGGTCCCCGATAAAAATAATCCCCGATAAAAGATCATGCTATCATACATAAAAAATTGTATGAGGCTTTACCCCCAAGCCACCCGTGTAGTAATAGGATGGTTTGAAAAGTACTTGAGTAATGAAGGAGGGTGTACAAGGGGCCTAATAAGGCTTAAGTGCCGCGGTGGAAAAACAATTCCACCACCCCTCCGTTATACATACATACATACCTCATTAGGAACCATTGAAATGGTATGGACAGATGTAATATAATATTTAGTTAGATCAAATAGAAGAACACTTCATTTTGACAAGTTTTTATTAACTTTTTCATGGAATCGATAGGTTGGCATTTGATATTTCGTTTTCTATTTACAATCATCATCATTTATTTAATAATATGCTCTGTCTTTAAAAACTTATTTTTCAGTTAGTTTCAATTCTGTGTTCACTGGTTTGTCACTTCTGTAGGTCTGATTACGTTTCGGATAAATTTCATCAGGAGAAACATTTTTAAGTACTTCCAGTACTTTCTAAAATCAATGGCTCAAGGATTCTGAATCATTTTTTATAACTGAATTTGTCCCTACAATTTTTTGTGCCTTATAATCTAAAAATGATTAAGTTTTTGACCTTTCCTTGATCTTCGAAAATTTAATTCTATTTATTTTGTCAATAAAAGACATTATTTAACACGTAATGCCTTTGACTGCTTTGAATGCCGCCCTTGAGTGCTGGGCCCTGGAGGTCCATATGGACCACCAGTAATAAAGTTCGGTTTCCTTATTGCTGTACGTTTTACCGCATATATGGGACCGCTCCGTAGGCCGATAAAGTAGTTGAGACAGTAATTTCGAAAACAAATTTTTTATAGCCTAATTCACGGAAACCCCTATTTTATAAGTAAAATAACAACCTTATGACAATTTAAACACTGTCTATTGATGAAAAGTAAAATAACAACATTTTGTTATAATACTAAAGTAAAATGTACATATATATATTGAAAAAAAAAAAATGTGATAGTAACACATAATTAATCTTATTTATGCAACACGTTGAAGCACTCTAGGCAATAATGAGGCTGATCATAGCAATCAGCGCAGTACATAGACACTTTCTTCACATTGTTCTTATGTATTTCACCATTTGCTTTTTTCTGGTAACATCCTTTGCAGTATTTTCGGGTTTTGTGAGAAGGACCTTCTTTTTTCTCTAAATGATGTTCACGCTTTCTGAGTTGCTTTTTAGGAACATGATTTTCTTTCTCTTCATTCAATTCCATATTGTCCTGTAGCTCTGGAAAAATCATTTTCTCGTACACACTTTCCCGAAACTCTGTTATTGTCGTATTAGTTTCATTGATTTTTTTATAAAAATAGTGCGCATTGACCATAGAGGTAGCGAAAAGAACTTCTATAACAACTTTTCGATACCATTTTATAGACTTCCGTAGTGCCGAATTGTAACTCGCCATCTGATCAGAGAGATCTATAGAGCTCTTGCCTTTATTGTAATCCAATACAGCTTGTGGTTTTTTTTAGATTCTCCCCGTACATAAATGTCTAACATTTGATCTATGTGTTTGGTGGAAAGCAACAACACATCTCTTTTATCTTTCCATTTCATTATTGTGATACCACGTGCATTTTCTTTGGCTATTATTTCTCGTTTTAGTTTTTTTTTGTAATACATCTTTGGGATTTCCCCGCCTGTTAGACCTAAGCGTTCCCAAAAGATGGGTAGGTATTATGATCTAGCAATTTATTAGCTAAATCTATACTAGTATACCAATTGTCTGTTATAGCTGTTCTTCCCTGGTCTAGCAGCTTTTCAGAGAGCGTTCGACGATATAAATGTTTGCACTGGGCCGCAGCGGTCCGCTGGGACCGACGTCATATCTTCTACAATTTAGTTATAAAAAGCAACTAAAACTAGTTTGTACCAAATTTTTTAAGCTTTCAACTCAAAATCACCTTAAAAAACGAAAAAAAAAATTTGGCCCGGTGAACAAATATACCAAGAAGCTGTTGGCCGTTAACATGTTAAAGACATTTGCTGAGATGTAATTAAATTGCTGTGATGTTTTAAAAGTATATTTTCTAAAAAATAGAAAATGAAACATCAGATGACAAAATTGACATTTCCATGAGAAAGTTCATAAAAAGTTGTCACAAAGAAATATTTTTCTGTGAAAAAAAATAAAATAGAAAATGGAATGATTTGGTTTTCTCAAAACCCCATAATTATATCTGTGATCTGTTTACGTCATCTTATTGGCTAAGCAACTTTTTCTAATTTGTGCCACCCTGTATCTCTGATCGTTTCAAATATTCCCATAAAAACAATCTCTTCTTCGCCATGGTGTACCGACTTTCTTAGTTTAGTAGCTTTATGCACTGTTGTATGGCTTCCTGGTTTTACATTCTGTCAAAAAAGAGTATCCGGAATTTGTCACTAAAACACAATATAATCATCAAAATTTATTTTGTCTCCTTCAAAATAGGCTCCATATGAAGTAAAACACTTTTTCCAATGAACAACCCAGTTATCAATTTAAACACATATTGCAGTATGGACTTCAACTCCTTGAGCGATTTTTCTTTTATGGCTTTTATCATCTCAAAACATGTTCCACGAAGTGGTAATTTGAGTTTGGGAAAGAGGAAAAGTCTGTAGGGGCTATATCTGGCAAATACGGTGGTTGCTTGATGATGAGATTCGTTGAGTATTTGATCAAAGATTCATTTGCAACTGTCGCTTTGTGATGGTGCATTATCGTGGTGCAAAATTCAAGAATTGTCCTTCCATAAATCTGGTCTTTGCTGCAGATACTCCCTCTCAAATGTCTCATAATGTCCAGCAAATTCTTTGTTGACTCTTTTTCTATCTGGAAGGAATTCTGTGTGAACAACACGACGATAGTCAAAGGAAACAGTTAACATGACTTCAATTTTTGACCGACTTTGACGTAGTTTTTTTGGTTTTGGTTTATTAGAAAAGCGTCTTTTCAAAGCTTGTTGTCTGGTTTGCATGTTAAACTCGTAAACTCATGTCTCGTCACCTGTTACGATGTGTTGCATGACTGTAGGTCCGAATGAGCTCATTCAAGCATGTCTTCAGCAACATGTTTGCCATGCTCTTTTTGAAGAAAATTCAGCTCTTTTAGAACCAGCTGTGCTGCGACACATTTCATACCCAAAACACGCAGCTAAAATGGTACGAACTGATTCGTGAGTTATGTTTAGTTCATATGCCAGCTCTTTCAAACTATAATGACGGTTTGTAAGCACCATTTCCTTCGCTTTATCAATGTTTTCTTCACTTGAAGACTTTGAAAGATGACCAGAACATGGCAAATCATCAACCACTTCTCGATGATGTTTGAATGCTTTGTACCATTCGTATGCTTGATTTCGATAAAACTGAATCATCGTACATTTTTCCCAACATTCAGCATAAGAAATTCTGTTGGTAGCACAAAATTTTAGACAAATTTTGTCCAATAACATTATTCATAGTAAAAATTGTGGGACACACTTTATGTGCACTAACAAAATTAACAGCTGTAAACAAACTACTTGACAAGTCACGCCCAAACGTCAAGAGTAGAGTATAATGGCACCAACTTTCCATTAAAAAAAAATTAAATCTACTGTACGCGAAATTTTTAAATGACAAATTCCAGATACTTTTTTCACAGAATGTATGTGTCTTAAACTTAAAATTTTGCTTTTTTGTGCAGTCACACAAATTTTTGTTATTTTTATCTTTGTTATGCCTAAAAATTTTAGATACTACTTAAGTCGCTTTAAGGATTCAACTCGGCAGGGCACAATAGACATGATGTTAGGTAAGTTATATTTGCAAAAAAGTTTTACCTATAACAATCAGGTTTTTATTAGGTAACTACGTGTCCGAGGATGAATTCAATGAATCCAAAGCCTCTCAGTACGAGGAGGATAGCATAGCGACTGCAGAACACGTTAAATTACTCATAGAGGATTGTAAAAAAATGTTAATAAACCAACCTGAACAGGTGGTTGGAGCTTGGGGTTTGATAAACGCAGATCCGTCTACTGGAGATCCAAATGAAACAGAAATGGATTCAATTTTAATTCTTACTAAAGATTCGTATTTCATTGCTGATTACGACGATCAGTTCGATAAAGTTACTAAATACCAAAGAGTTTACCTTCAAGATCTGACACTGTTCGAATTTGGGATGGCGGAGTCTACAAATTCGTTGTTTAAATCGTCTAAGCCTAAATACTGCATAAGGCTCAATTATAAAGTTAATAACGTCAGCGGATATTATCACATGTTCCGATCTACAAATTTAAGGTTTTTTAATAATATGGCTGTGGTTATCAAAAACATAGATGAAGAAGTTGGTAAGTTTTGTTGGGTTGTGTAGTTTTAAATTTCTTTATATCCTTTTTTTTTGCAGAATCTTTAAAAGCAATTTGTGAAGCTTTTGTTGTGGCAATGGATATTGCCGGCATTTCTCCAGTTCCCTTCAAGCAAGGCCTAGCCCTGGACAGAAGGAAGTCGAAAGTAATCAATAGTGGTACATCTACTACTAGTAGTATTTATTTAGATATTGCTTCATTGCCACAGATGACTCGCAATGTTTCCGAAAGTCAATTATTGTCTTTGAAAAATGTTGGTAAGCAGATAAAGTGATATTTTTTGTTTTTTATTTTACCAAAATATAAATTACTAATAAGTGAAATAATATTAATATGTACCACTTAAAAGTAATAGAAATAAGTAGAGATTATTATTTTTAATTTTATAATAATATCACAGGCCGACAATTTTCAGAACCAGCAATCAGACTTAGTGTACCCAAAGGATTTTGGCGCACTGATTATGAATCCGAGCTCAAAATTGGCCCATCATCCTAGGTTCTCGAGATATTCTAACCTAAATGTGCAAAAATCACAGTTTTTCGCTATATTTGGGGGTTAGATTACAATGTGAATTAAATTTTTTTTCTAAAATCGCATTAAACCATTTCAAAGCACCACTCTTACCCTTCTAAGTGCACTTCGATTTTTTTTAAAAACTTTTTTTCCATGCAGATATGACAAAATTTAGCCTAAAACGAGATATAAATTACACAGGTCAACAAGGGTCAAGAAGCAGACACACTAATATGCATTCCCGAAGGATTTTGGTGTGCTGAATCCGAATCTGGCCGCAGAATTGCTCTTATCACATCAGGTTTTTGAGATATCCTAACCTAAATGTGCAGAAAACACTATTTTTCGTCATATTTGAGGTTATGTAGTAATGCTGTCTATTCTTTTTAAAAAAAAATACATAAAATTTAAAAGTACAAGCCTCCCTCTTTCGAATGCCGTTGAGTTTGCTCAAATATCTGTTTTTTTGCGTTTTTTCTCAAACTTCTACAAACCCCAAGCCCACCAACTCCAAAAGCCACAAACCGTATGGGTATGAAGTTTCTGAATTGCAATCGACTGCTTGATGTCCAAGGGATCCTTAGTAGATTTTCGCATATTAATATTAAGAAACTGAGAAACTGAAAAATTTCAACATGTGATATCTCATCGAAAAAAAAAAAGATATTTGAGCAAACTCAATGGCATTCGAAGGAGGGAACCTTGCACTTTTAGATTCAATGTATTAGTTTTTTGAAAAAGAATAGATGGCATTACTACATAACCTCAAATATGACGAAAAACAGCGTTTTTTGCACTTTTAGATTAGGATATCTCAAAAACCTGACGTGATAGATAAATTTTGTTGCTAGATTCGGATTTAGTGCACCTAAATCTTTCGGAAATATATATTCAAGTTTCTGCTTCCAAAAAAAGTTAAATTTTGTTCGTCTGTGTTATTTATACAGGGTGTCCGCGTTTTTTGTAGCAGGACTTTCACAACTTGTACTAAAAGTCCTTTAAAAAAAAAGGTTCATATAAACATATATGTATAGATGCGTCGTTTTCGATTTACAGAGTGTTCAAGTTTAAAATGAGAATTGATTTTTTATTCGTAAAACGAAAACCCCTTTTTAGACTTTGTTGAAACATGGCAACTTTGTTTGTAAAAATAATACTCATTTTCTCACATAATTTAATTTGTCCTATTTTCTCCAGTGGCGTCACAAGATACCAGCTTGATAAAAATAGAAAAAATTATGGTACGCCACTGCTTTTTGGTAAGTTTGAATTTTTTCTCAGATTTAGCTATCAAAAATACAACTTTTTTGTTATTTACTTTTTTCCTATCTTGCTTTGTTTAGTCAGAAATAAAACATTTTCATGAATAGGTTCGAGATTTGCTTAATTTATGTATTTACTTGTTACAAAGTGTGCCGTGAATATGTCTGTTTTTGAGTTGCCAAGGATTTTTTGTTGGGACCTTACATCCTGCCCAATAGATTAAGCGGTCAATTATTTCTTGAATTTTTAACTACTACTAACATGCTAGACGATGTTCCTTTTCAACAAAGAATAGACTCGTTTTTTCAATTAGATGGATGCCCTTCCCAGTACTCTTTGGTGGTACAAAACTGGCTGAATACAGAGTATCCACAGAGATGGGTGGATCGTTGAGGTCCAGTTGGGTGGCCTCCGCGATCGCCTGATCTAACACCTTTGGATTTTTTTGTTTGGGGATTTATTAAGGATGCCGTTTACTCTATGCCTGTTAACTCGCAAGAGGAACTTGTACGGCGAATCCGGAACGCTGCTCTAAGAATAACTCCACATCATTTGAGAGACATTAGGTGGTCTTTGATACGTCGCTGTAATTTGTATGTAGAACGAAATGGCGGGCATTTCGAACAGCTCCTTTGAGGTCTATTTATTCAATAAGTTTTTCCGTACCGTGTTGTTTATGTTTTTTATTACATATCGTACAATAAACTGTGAAACAAAAAGTTTTATTTCTGTCTAAATAAATCAAGATAGGAAAAAATGTAAATAACAAAAAAGTTGTATTTTTAATAGCTAAATCTGAGAAAAAAATCAAACTTTATCAAGCTGGTATCTTGTTGTGACGCCACTGGAGAAAATAGGACAAATTAAATTATGTGAGAAAATGAGTATTATTATTACTAACAAAGTTGCCAAGTTTCAACAAAGTCTAAAAAGGGGTTTTACGAATAAAAAATCAATTCTCATTTTAAACTTGAACACTGTAAATCGAAAACGACGCATCTATACATAATCATGAACTTTTTTTTTTTTAAAGGACTTTTAGTACAAGTTGTGAAAGTCCTGCTACAAAAAACGCGGACACCCTGTATGTTTCTTGAGTCGCTGAATTTGAAAACACCAACATAACCTCAATATTTCAAGATTTTCTAACATAAAATTGTGAAAACATTAAATGAAGCAGATACTTACGTATACACTCTGTTACATTCGGATGCTAAGCTCATGACAGGTTCATCATAATGTACCCAGGCTCCAAAATTTTAAACTCATCAGGTTAACCTGTCGTGGGTTTAACCCTCTCTGGTTATTGCGCATTTAGGTTAACTTGTCGTAGGTAACAGCGTGTATACACAAGTATCTGCTTCATACAGTAGTGTTCTCGCAATTTTAGGTTAGAAAATCTTGTAATATTGAGGTTATGGAGCAGGTCCACTGTTGTTTTCAAATTCAGCGACTCAAGAAACATATCTATATCTCATTTTTGGATAAATTTTGTTTATTTCCATGTTGTAATGAAATCGCTGAAATACTAAACTTCAATCTATGTCTTTATGGAAAAAAAGATTTTAAAAAAAATCGAAGAGCGCTTAGAAGGGTAAAAGTGGTACTTTGAGAAAAAAATTAATTCACGTAATCTGACTCCGAATATAGTGAAAAACTGTGATATTTGCACTTTTAGGTTAGAATATCCCGAGAACCTAGGGTGATGAGCCACTTTTGAGCTCGGATTCATAATCAGCGCACCAAAATCCTTTAGGTACACTAGATCCGGTCTTCTGTAAAATTTTGTCAACCTGTGTATTTAGCCCATCGAATTAGGTCTTATATAAAGGATGTCCTCAAATTCACGCAAGAAGTAATTTTGGTAGATAACACAGGTTTTTAATTAAAAATTGTAAATTTTTTATTGATTTATAAAGTATACCCTTTAGGGTTATGTATGAAATAGCATATCGGATGGCCTCCATAGCTTAGCTAGCACATATGCACGTTTTTGTCAAAATTTTCCATGATCATGTTGCATAAATGTGGTTAAATTTCATTAATACAGCGTTCAATTTCCTCCTTCAAGGCATGGGTGGTGGTGGGCTTGCTCAAAAATGAAAACCCATTGCTCTTTTCTGTAGGACTTCATTTTTAATAACCCTGAACTGTCAGCTGTCACCTTTTTTTTTTATTTCACACTTTACCGTACAAATGGAGCATAATTAAAATCTTGCTTGAATTTTGGCCCACCCGATACATTTCAGGATTGGTACGAAAAAAATATTTTTCTTGCCCTTTTTTAGGAACTAAAGCTTTATCAAACATGACCCAGCAGTTTTCGAAGCTAAACAAAATTAGTCATTCCTTTAAACAGAATAAATCAATGCAAAAACCCAACTTTTCCATTGGACAACAGAGGAAAAATGAGTCATCCAGCGATTCGGACGAAGATTATGAAAATTCCATCTTCCAGCCTAATGAATCCATTCAAGACAGAACCTCCTTGCAGTATGCTACTGACTCCAGTTGCGACCGAAGCAACAATTCTATAGAACAGGGCCTCGAAGTAACGGAGGATTCATTTATACCACCTACAAATAAAGACACTTTTTTACCGGGCGTGGGAATTGTTATGGGCAACAAAAATGAAATCCACGACATTGAGGGTGTACTGGAACAAAAACAAAATCTACTCAGCAGAGTAGATTCGTCACAAATGGACGACGTTCAACTCTCAAGTATAATGCAAAACGTTTCGATCAACGGTGGTAAAAACTCGAACCCCGAAATACAAATAAACTCCGACGAGTTGGACGTATCCAAGAAAATTCCACCAAACACTCTAAAGTTGGAAAAGAAATTCAGTCATTCGTCTGGAAACGTTAACGATTCAAAAGATGCTTCAGAGTTCAGGCCTTCCGACACAAAATTAGAACGATCGAGTTCCGACTATGAGGTACAGTTGAACATATCGCAATCTCAAAGTGAATCTGCTTTAAAAAGTAAGCTCGGTGGTATCGGCACTCCTGTAGCAAGTGCCACGAAGGACCTAGTTCTATCGCCATTTAGTAAACTGGCGAAGGGAATGCAACAGTTCGGCGTCAATTTGGATCCGAGGAAGTTAAGTGGACACACTCAGGTCAGACATGTCACCGAGAGGGAAATGGAGGAACACAGGAAGTTGCAGGAAAGGTGGCAAAACAGTAAAACTAGATTAATAGCTTTATAAGTTGCATTGGCTATTTTTAGTGCAAGTAGTGATATTTATAATTAATTTATTTTATAACTTGTTAAGATTTATTTATTTCTGTTCTCGTTTGTCTCTATTGTGTATTAAAATGGACAGTTTCCATTTTAATTCAAGGTAACAAAGTTGAATATTACACTAGTTATCTTAATTAGGTATGTGCACATCAGTTGTGGTTGGTGTCAGTTTAAGTGGTCATGTTTTGTTAAAAAAGAGTGGAGTCCCCATTTGGGGGATGATTCATATACCAGGGAAATTTTTTTTGATAAAATTTGCAAAATAAAAGATTAAAATAGGGATTGGATATGTGCAAAATATATTTTTTTCATAATCTGATAGATATGATCTGGCTTTTTTTTGTTTAAAAAAGACAATTTTTTCATATACAGGGTGTTTTTAAATGAAGTAGCAAAAATGGTACCAGTGAATGTAGATCCAAAAATAAGAGGATTGAAGTAAAAATACCTTATATGAAAGTTGCACCCGTGAGGCGATATACCCTCTTAAAAGAGGGGATTGAAATTCACATTTTAATTTTTTTCTTTAACATGGGGAATACTAGAGACACGAAACTTATTATGAGCATCCTACTAACAAAGAGACAACTTTTCAATATTTTTTCAATCATTGGAGTGAAACAGTCAACACCATTGCAATATTTTATTAGAAATTTTTTATATGAAGCAAATTATTTATTTAAAAATATTTATTGTGAAGACTGATTCATTGTGCAACTTTTTTACCTCTTGTAATTTTTCAATAAAACCAATAGTTTTGTAGTAAAACAATTAGATGAGTCATCGTTCACTAAAGGGGTAATTGAGAAAATTTGTAAATATAAAGTAGGCGGATGTCATAACAAATAAATTTTTGTTATTTATCAGATTCATAAATTGATACTTTCTGTCAATCAATAATTAGTACCGATTGATTAATTTATTATCAGAATAATTATGGTAAATAATATTTATACCAATGACGAATATGTCGACATGCTCGACAATTTATTTTTAATTCTCTATGTGGATCTAGAAAATGGTATGAATCCCATGCTTTATTATAAAAATATACAAGGTCTATCTTGATAGCGGAGTCATATTTATATGGAGACTATATTGGAGCTTAGCTTATATAAGTTTAATAGGTAACTGCCAACGTCCTGTACGTCACTAATTTTCAAATTTGTCAATTCGCAGCATCGACAGGCACCAGAAACCCCCATTGTCAGTGCAACCTAAAATAATTCAAAGTTCACTATGTACCTAACAACATGTAAAAGGTAGCCCGTCAAAAATTCTTCAATATGTGCTCTTTCCAATACTGCAGCTTTTTTTTGTTTCAAATAAGCAGTAAGTTCGTTATATTTATATTTTCCGATATCTATATTTTTGTAGACATTTATAGTAGCCTTCAACATCGAATACTTCGACCACATAGTTGAAATTGCATATTTTTTCTTCAAATTTAAAAAATACGATAGCATGACTTCTTCCTTTATTGTCATTACTCTTCGTTTTTTCCTCATACGTTAAATTCGACGAACACTTTTTCGTAATGTTCCCTGGATTTCGCTGGCAATAAATGGAAAATTGCTTCTTGAGCTTCTTCAAAAACAGCAACAGGAACATAATTACTTTCTTGCATTTTTATCAAATTCAGATAGAACTGTTTATTACATAATTGATAATAAATTACGTATCATAGCAACCAGTAGGTATAACAAAACCTACCACTGTTCATCGAGTGCTAGTAAGAAATATCAAGTCGTGCGAATATTTTTTTATTAAATTCCAATAATTCAGACTATAAATATGATTGTGATGTGATTATGGATAAACCGTTGTATTGCATTCGTGTTTTAATTGCTTTTTATCCACTTAAGAATATTAAACGCTCGAACTACGTTCTCACGTTTAAATATTCTGGCGTGGATAAAATGCTACTTAAAACACTTATACAATAAATAATTATTATTTATTATTTATTTTTATTTTTATAAACCAGCAAAAATAATTATTTTACAACATACAGGTTTGGAAAGTCCCCATGGTACATCGGCCGTTACGTGAGAGCAATAAAGTAAGTCTTAGAAATCCGTGCGATAGACAAGGATGGTTACATTGAAGACGTTTCATAATCTGAATAGTCACTGCCACTTCTAACCCGAAACGGGCGGTGACCATTCAGATTATGAAACGTCTTCACTATAGCCATCCTTGCCTATCGCACGGATTTCTTTACTTTACTTTGTCGCTCTCATGTAAAGGCAGATGGACCATGTGGATTTTCCAGCCCTGTATATTATTTACTTAGATTTAGTAAAGTTTGCCTATTCACATACACATATTAATATTTAACAAACCATGCAAGAAATATTAATTTTCTAAAAACACTTGAATTTTTTTTAAATATTTGGCATTTCTTATATATTGTCAGAAAAACATGGTGATTTTAAAATAAGATGATGCAAAACCATACAAAAGCAGTTTGTTTTTACGAAATTATTTCCATTGAAGTTTCATTCTGTACCATTCTGTCAGTTTCAGACAGTTGGTTTAAAAAAAGTAACAACATGCAACAATGATGCGGGTTAACATCAAAGTTCCCTCTAAGCTGCGCGGGTGTGCAGCCATTCACTAATTTTCCGAAAGTTGCGTAGCCATCTTTGTATTCTGCGCACAATGGGCTTCTTTGCCATTTTTTTAAATTTCATTTTATAAAAGAATTGCATCTAAAAACGGCAAAAACCCAAATTTCACAAAAAGTAAAAATTAAGAGGGTCAAAAAAATTTTTGAAATCGACGTTTGACATTTAAACGTAAAATGAAAATGTCATTCAAACATAGTAGATCTTGCCCCTAATAAAGAAAGAATATTCACACTTGCACACTTTTACGTTTTGAACATTTTTGCTCCCATTTATTTTTGTACCATGTAGTCAACGAAAAAATTTGAGGGAACATTGGTTCACATACAACCCAAATCAGAAGCTGTCCAGTTACAGCATAGATAAGAATTTGAATGTAGTTTAAAAAATAAATAAATAATAATTTTGTAGTAGTTCTCTGGGGATAATATACTATTACCCTTAAAGAACTGACCCCCATTTAAAGATACACACTGTATAACACTTACATTTTCACCGGCTATCACTGATGTGCATCTTAGAATTTTAAATATTTATTATCTTGATCAGTCTCAAATATCAGCTTTCATAGATAATTATTTTTTGCAGATATTTGACCTTTTTGCTTATTTGCTGTTTTAAAAATAAACTTTCTTAATGAGATTTATTTACAGTTTAAAGGTGATTTGTATATACTTTTTAAAAATATTGAAGTAATTAACCATTTTGTTAGATGGTGGGTGGCTCAAAAAATTTATGTAGTGTGTCTAAAACATGTAGAGTGGGTTAATTTTTGTCTAATTAAAAACTGAATACGTCACTAAACATAAAAATTTTTTAAAATGGGGTGTCACTCAACCTGCTTTACAATTTACACCTGTTTGTAGTGTCGTAGCTAAGGCCATGAGTGCCTAGGGCAAGATTTGAATTTTGCGCCCCCCAAAACTTATTTTGTAGGAAGGGAAATAATACAATAACAGGCTGCGAGTCCGCGAGGGCGTTCCCTTGAGATTTGCACCCCTGGCAGCCTCTAGCTACGATGCTGCTTGTTTGCACCAAAATTAATAAGCATTTCTTAACAATAAGATATTTTTAAGAGGGCTTAATTTATTGCATTGTTTGCTACGCTATTTTTAAGTATGAAAACATTTGCTCAAATCTAAATCTCCAATTAAAGACTACGTACATAAGATGTTCCTTAATCAAATAAATTTATCAAGCCTTTTCAGAGCATGAAGAAACTTACCAACATCACGGGATGGGCAAAATTATACTTAAATTAGGTGCAGGTATTTATTAACTGTGTTTCTAAATCTTTCTAACCTTCTCACAATAAATGTGTTTAATTTCTTGTTAATAATCGTTTGAAAATGCAGCTTTTCTTAGCGTTCCAGTTATACATTGTTGTGGCCCATTAAGAACCAGGACACCCCACCAAAAAGTTTTTAGAAGAAATTTTTGGGTCGATCAATTTAGGGGTTTTTAAATCTTAAAACCAATTTTTTTTATATATTTTTGTACAGGCAGTTTTAAATGTTTGAAATTTAGTTTTTTTTAAGTAAAAATTTAGGATGTTTTGGGAATGTTTGAAATGTTGGTTATAACTAAAATAAAAAACTAAAAAACAGAATTTTTGCAGATATGAACTCCTAACCAGACTCCTGTCAGTGTTGACATTTTATAATACATCAATTTTTTTTAGGAATGCCTAGCTATAAATGTAACTTATACAAAAATATTTTGATTACATATCCAAAGAAGTTGCAATATATCAAAATCCAAGTTGAAAAATTAAAATTTTATGTTAAAAAATTAAAATTCATATAAAAAAAATCGCATTAAATCACAGGCGTGCCCTGAAAAAAGTTAGAGGAGAAAAGAAGTGGGAAAGTGATCATCAAATGTATCCTCTCGGAACAAAAATTCACCCACTCAACCAAATTTATTTCATTTCAATATTTAGATAACTTTTTCAGAATTTCTGTTGAGAGATTTAAGAAAAATTTTACCATGGAAAGTAAAATACTTTAAACTCGGTGTTAAACTTGAATTTGGATGAAAACTGCAATGTAATTCCATGGTTGTTTTTTAAACAAATTTAAATAAAAGTCTAACTATTACCATTTTTTAACCAAATAGTTATTGAATTAAAAAATTATATAGATTTTGTTATTCTGTTACCATTTTTACAGTATTATGAAGTGTTAGTCTCATTAAATTGTAGTTAAGAGCTTTAATATTACAATAAAAGCACAATGCATACTAGTTGTGATACTTTGTTATATAGATTATGGTTGATAGCAAATTGTTGATAGAATTATTTTTAGATAAATCAGTGGTGGCGTTTATAACGATTCATTAAATATGAAAGTTTTTTTTGTGATATTTTTGCAGATTTTCGGAGATTGAAATTATATGCCTCTAATGTTATAGTTATGTTAAAGTTTAAAGTTATACCTATAAATTTATCTGCAAATTAAAATTAAATAAGAAATTTCCAATTGGCGATAAATAAAAAAATTTATGATTTATTTTAGCAATTTAATATTATCACATTTTAAAATAATAATTTTTTTTATTTACGTTTAATTTTAACACAATTTTGAAAGAGAAGAAATACAGGTTTAACTTTCACTGGTTTAGGCTTTAGAAGACATGACTTCTGCAATTTTATTATAAAATTTTTATGTGTTGAAACCAGTAGCGTTTTTTGAAAATTAAAGTGGTCATATATTTTGATAACGAAATGTGACATTCATACTGTTTTTAGTGAATAATTTCTATGCTCATGTAATCAAATTCTATTACCAAAAAAAATTAAAAAAAACTAAAGTTAACATCCCTTTTGATTTAAAAAATGTTATACGTTGAAACAAGTATATCAACAAACTATATAGAATCTTTTAATTTTAAACCGATAAAGTAATTATAAATTTATGTTCTGATAATATCGTACCAAGGTGTTTTGTGCAGAGTGATTAAAGCTAATAATTGATCTAATTGAAGGAAAAATCATGTGCGTTTCATATACCAGTGGTGCAAGGAAAACCTTAGAAACTTGAAAATTCGATCACTACTTGCAACTTCTTGTGTTTTCAAGAAAAAATTCATTATTTAAAAAATGTATCAATTTTGATAGATTTCTTTAACTTTCATTAATGTTACCAAACACTTCACAAAATGTAAAATATTAACCTGAGTTTCGAGATAAAAGTGAATTTTCTTTTACTCTCAATATCCTGTATCTTTAAAACTTCCAATTTGCAGAACTATGTTTATGTAATCCTTTTGGTTTAAAATCACTCAAAGAGTTGCAACTTTAAGTTTGTCAACATATTTAAATAACAACCTGTACATTTAAAATATTTCATCTAATTTTTTACAAAACTAATTTTTTTCAAATTTAAATTTAAATTTGATATTAACAGTCCATTTTCTAAACTTCATAATGAAGTTAAGAAAAATAAAAAAATATGGGAAATAAAACATCTGGATCCTATCAATTATTAGCATTGTTTTTATTTTGAAAATTTTGTTTGAATTTTTTTTTCCGAAACTTCTATATGAGCATATAGAATTCATCCCCTAAAAGACAGCCAATGTCCCAGCTTCATTATCAAAATATGACTATTTTAATTTTTATCTCCTGCCACTGGTCCAAACAACCCTCGAAACAACCTTTTAAATAGGAGCCTCCACTGATATATTTGAATGACTTTTTAGATACATCTATTCAAAAATTTTTATAGAACTTACATATATATTTGTAAATAAATGTTCTATGATCAGTGTTGAATTACTACTTATAGGGGTCTCAAAAATAAGTGCTTCCATGAAAGAATTGAAAGGGGGCACTAAAATTAAGAATTTTCATTGGGCAACGTGCGATGAAAGAAAAAACAAATAGAACATTCTTGTTGAAAGAAATGATACATAATTTTGATTTTACCAGCAGTATTTTGATTTTACCAGCACTATGATCATAAAAATGTTTATTCATATTATTTTTGGCAGTTTAGAAATTGCGGAAATGACAGCGTAAACCAGACTGAACCTGCTAAAGTGCACCTGCTCTTGAAATTACATCTTTGATTATCTGTGTAAGGTAAAAGATATGCTTTAAGACTTAATGAAAATTATTAATTTTTGTGTGTCTCACATCATTGTATTCAGGGAATGTACTTGTTTTTGAAACATCTTGATATCCTTCTGTGTTAACTATGAAGTTAGTTTTTATTAATATTATGTATTATATACTGAATAGTCTTTGGTTGACAGTCAAACATGTTCAGCAAGTTATTTATTACTTGGAAGATTTTAAGTAATTTTATTTAAAGAATTTAAAATAAAATACAATAAAATTATAAAATGTTATACAGATCAGCAAATTTCCTTTGATTGTTGAAGGACAGATGTGCAAAGTCAAGGAATTAGAGTAGTGATTTTACCCTACTACCATTTGCATTTCTATTTTTTATTAAAAAGCTACAGGAAAGGAGAAGGGCCGCTAAGGCCGGTTTTTGTCCTAATTTATTTTTGGCAGAAAAAATCTGAAAATTTTTTTTTAGTACCTACTAGCAATACCGTTTCCACCCTAAACGGAGCAACCCCTTCACCCTCCTTTCCCCCTCCATGCCCTTAAATGAGATGACACACATTTACATTAAATAAAACAAAAAAGAAAAAATCAATAATTATACATACATGTTTGTGCATATTTGATTAGCCACTTTGAATTTTGTGATTCTGAATTCATAATAATTGTAATCAGTGATCCAAGAAAGTTTCTATAAACAAATATTTGAGGATTATGAAGATTTTTTTAATTTTTTTGTCTGCCATATGGAATACGTCACTTTGAATTTCGTAATTCTGCCTTCAGATTCGTAATCAGACACCCAAAAACCCCCATACACAAAAATTCATGCATTTTAAAGACATTTTAATTTTTCTGTCCGCTATATTGAATCCGCCATTTTGAATTTCGTAATTTAGAGTCCAGATTCGTAATCATAGACCCAAAAATACCCATTACAAAAAAATTTATGCATTTTGAAGACATTCAATTTTCTTGTCCGCCATATTGGATCCGCCATTTTGAATTTCGTGATTCTGAGACCAGATTCGTGATTTTAAGATTCCTTTATCTAATAAGCGATGGTTTCCCCGGTATTTAAGGGGGTGGAGGGGGAAAGGAGGGTGAGGGGGTTGGTCCGTTTAGGGTGGAAACGATTCAGTATTGCTAGTACAACTTTACCTAATCTATGGCTAGTACCTAGATACTAAAAACATTTTTTTCAGATTTTTTCAGCCAAAAATATATTAGGCCAAAAACCGGCCTTAGGGGCCCTCTTCCTTTGTTGATCAAAATATTTATTTTTTTTATAGTTTTGAAATTGATTAATTTCCTCAAGGTAAAATTTTAGTTGATTCTTTCAATGCAGACTAAAATATTTCATAAATGTTTAGTGAAGCTGAGCATTGTACGAATTCTATTCAAACATCTAGAAAAAGTTGTAGTTTGTCATCTCCACACGTAGACCTAAGTAAATATGTACTTATGTAAAACAAGTAATGTCAATTATTCACTGCTCGCTAATTTATATATGAAATAAAATGCATACTAGAAAATGTATTTTTATTTGGCTTTTATCAGAAAAGAACAAAATTTTTTTTTTATACGAGTGGGTATTGTGTATTTTCTTTTTTCATTTTTTGAAATGACTTCTATTTACAAGGAAATCCTCATAACCAGAAACATTGTTGGGATTCTCTCCCCTGATGGCTCTGCAGACAGGTAAGCAGGGTTGTCTATCGCCTCTCTCATAGAATCATCTTGGGGGAGAGTGCACACACTACACATTTTTTCTCATTTGGGCTGGTTCTGTTTAGAGGTTTGGTCCACACTGTTTTGTCAGCCTAATAATGCTGGGTACATTCTTGGGATGGCACTATTTCTGTCTGAGTGCTTTAGCAGGCTTGACAAATTCTTTGACCAAGTGGGAGGACTTGAAATGTTCTGCTATGTTTCTAATGTACTGAGAATTAAAGTTTATAGAAATAAATTTCTCTGCATATTAAAAATTAATAAAAGAAGTTTTGAAAGTGATAATTTAGAACACATTTTTTATATTTTTTAAATTTTTTATTTCAAATCAATAATTTGCATTTACTCGTATTGTCAAACTAAATATACAGGCTGTTACAAATTCGCTTCTCACTACAGGGATCTCGAAAACGGTAAGAGATACAAACTAGCTTAAATGGGGGCAAAGTTGCGAAATCAGGGGACCAACAGTATGCCTCTAAGAAATCAAGGCTAACATGATTAGTTTTCGAAATATTTGAAGAAAACTGAAATTTTGGAAATCCGTTTTTTTCATTTCAGGCTTGTTTGGGATGATATTGAAAAAAAGAAGAACACTTTATAGGTAGGTATTTAGTAAATATAATTTCTAATTGTTGATAAATAAAAAAGTTTACTACTTTTTAAATTTATTTGCTTTTATCAAATTTTAAAATTAAGATCTTTTTTTATTTAGGTTTATTATTAATTTCGAGGTAGAGAGCATGCAGGTTTAGCATTATCCTATTTAGGCTTAAGTGATGTCTTCTGCAATTTTATTAAAC